AGCCCATATATGGCAGCAATACTCCATGCACGACCGGACTTGCGCTTTATATAAAGTAAACAGCTGTCCCGGCGTGAAGTATCGCCGCACCTTTGCAAGGACTCCCAGCTTCCTTGCAGCTGCTTTGGCCTTGGATTCAATGAACCACCCGAAGCTCAGATTTGAGGATATCTCAAACCCTAACAAATGAAGGCGGTCGGTTTATTCCAGTGATACATTTCGGAAAGAAGGAGCCAAGGTGAGATGATTCCTTTTTGAAGTGAAGAGACACGCTTGTATTTTGGAAGTGTTGAATTTCACAAGACTGGCATCGCCCCATTCGGAGACTGCCTGTAGTGTGAGATTCACACGCTCTACCATAACTTCTCTTTCCGACTGGATTTGATCCCGACTGGCCCGAGGACTTGGTTGGTATCATTCCACAACTGTGCTATCGTCTGCATACCCATAGATACCGGGTATAAGCAGATCATCAATATGCAGCAGGAAGAGAGTTGCGAAGAGAACGGACCCCTGAGGAACACCGGCGTTAGTCGCCATAGGATCGGATGAACATCCATCGATGACGGCCAATAGAGACCGTTCATTCAGACAGTGCCGTAGCTTCCCATGGGCTAGGCGGGGCAGTGCCCCGGGGCCCCTCGGCCTCCAAGAACGACGTTCGAAAAATTATGTACTATTCTTGTTGTATAAAGAATTTTCGATATTTAACTTTTTGGCTCCTGACCGCGAGCGGCTCTAACTGAAATCACAAAAATTACTTCCACTTCCAGAACAATAACATTTTTAAAAATAATAGTCTACTTCGTTTTATTGTATTTTTTATATAGAAGAGGGGGACAAACGAACACGCGTCTCACCCGATGGCAAGTGTCAAATACCATCTCTTAACAAATACAACACCTAGGGAATTGCAGGCGCGTTGCCGGCTTTTTAGAAAGAATTAAGCTCGTTTCTTGAAGGTCCCTAAGTCGTATAGGTCCGACAGTAATGGACCGTCAAACATTCCGATGATATGGATTGGTAAAATGCGTTGATAAAATTTTGTAGCTGGAATTAATCCGAACAACTCCTCTGAACACTCCCGTGGTAAACGCGCTAGAAAATGCAAAGAGATGCAACATCCCTTCGTCTCGTCTTTCGTCTTCGTCGGTCGTCAACGATTCGTTCGGTCGAACTGAATGCGGCTAAGTGGAAGGAGCTGTTACTAGGGAGCCCCGGCCCAGGGTTGTTAGGCCAAACCTGCCCCTTGTAAAGTTGTCAGCAGTGTGCCGGCATAAAATACTGTCCCGCTCTGCTGATCATGCCAAGCTTTTTAGAGGTCAATTCAGCATTCCCTTCCAAGTGACCACGAAACTGCACGTTATTCGATATTTTAAATGAAGATTCCGATACCGGCTGAGTAACAAGGGGTGGGTAACGGGTGCCCTGAAATTGAGGAGTTACGACAAAGGCGTTCTTTTTAGTGGTAAACGCGTAAACTTGTGTCTTTTGGGCATTGAACTTAATTATATTTAGTCGCCCCAATCCAGGACCTTATCCGGCAAAGACTCGACTTTAGATACAAGTTTGTTCCGGTACTCGGCGACATTGTCCCGAAAAATATAGGCACAGCCGGCGTATAAAGCATCACCAGTGCACGTTACTTTTACTTTTTTATTGTTTGCAACATATTATTGATAAGCAGAGAAAACAGCGTAGGTGATAGCACGTAGCCTTGTGCAACACTAGCATAAATAGGCTTGTAAATGGAACATGCACCTTCTACTACGACTTTGTTGCTCCAATCTGCAAGAAAACTGCTGATCCAGTTGCAGAAATTCTGTGGATGCCCATAGGAAGGGAGCTTCGAAAGGAGCGCTTTTAGCCAAACCCGATCGAAGATCTTCGCTATGTCCAAACTAACGGCCAGGGTCTCCCTCGCTGCATCCACCGATTTATGAGAGGTAGTTGGCACTAAAGCTGTCTTCTTTGATTTCGGGACTGCGACTAGGAAGTATGTGTTTTGAACCGTATTGTACCGACCTGAAAGCGAAATTATACTTATATTTTAACAGCGTCGGTGAAGCACTTCTATTATAGCGCGATGCAATTTTACAGGAGCGACCAAAACATGCACCACAGATGATAGAATAAAGAGTTCCAGTCCCTGAAGTACTACATTAGCGGCAAAATCACGTTGGAATCTTGTGGCGAAAAGAATACCCTCCCTTGTCCCCAAGGGAAGGATGCAAAAAAAGACCGCATCCTGTCTCAATGGGACGACCTATAGTGCCAAACACGGCGGCGATCTGCAGAAAGTAACCGCAATGGGAGTGTGAGTGACACCATAGTCCGGATCAAACAATGGTGCAATGATCCAAGAGCCCAAAATGGGGCGTCGACGGAGACCTGATATCCATCCGAATGAGAGGTCAGCAGAATGTCCTACAGGGAAGGTGCAAGATCCTCCACATCTAGAATCCGCGTAGGCGAAGTAACCATTTGTGTCGGACCATATGCCAAGGTAAAGTCATAAACAGATCTTCCCGTATGATCGGTTAAACGAGAACCAAGCCATTTAGCGTAATGGCTGTTAAAATTACCAAGGATCACAATCTCTGCAGATGGGGCTTGTTGTAGCGCGGAGTCTGCAGCAATTTGGACGTGTTCGATGAGTTGGTGTGTGTCGGCATTACCAATAGAGGCACCCGTAGACGCGAGGATGGTCGTCGCTGACCTTTAAAACTGCCGAGGCGTTGAGAACAGATTTCCTCTCTGCCGTATATGCAAACTCCAGCCCGAGGCACAAAGGTGTTCTAATTTGTACCCCGGATAGGAGAGAAGTATAAACCGGAGAGGATACCTGCGTCTCGGTTAGAAAGAGCAAGGTCGGCTTCGCCGTCTTCAGATGGTACCTAGTGGACTTTGTTAACGTTCGAATAAAGGGGATTTCCCTAATGTTGCAAAAATTCACGGATAGCATGGCAGGGGTCACCTTTAGCTTATTGCTTTACTTGCCACGAGCAGTATTAATCTTGTGTGGAATTTCGCTCCCGCCTCCCCTCATACGCGATATACCCTAACACCCGCGCTAAGGAAGAGTAGGGTAGCTTGGGCGTGGATGCTCAACCAGGGATTCTCCAATACCAGGGGTGCTGGTACCCTCCTGGGATGGTTTTTTATTTAACTACACTACCATGTTAAGGGGGAGAGGGGTTAGGCCTCCAACCGCCTGCACTTACCAGGCGAAGTATACTTCTACTTCACGCTGGTTGTCTGTAAGGGCGCGGTACCTCCTTGGTTCGAGCTGGTCCACCAATTCATTACAGCTCTACTTAGTAGTAAGTAGCTTTGCTTTATTATGGACTGCAGTGGGCGACAAGGAGTTGATGATGAAGTATTTTTGCACCTTTAAAGTATTTAGTTTAGTTCAAATAGAGCCCCAATTTCATTTTTGCCCCGGGGCCCTTGGTTGCATAGCTACGCCACTGCATTCAGAAATTCCTTTACCCATTCAATCAGACCAAGACATAAGCCGTACGCTGGAAGCTTACCTAAAAGGCTAGTGTACCAAACTCTGTCAAAGGCCTTCGAGACATCAAGGGAAACAGAAAGTGCTTCCCCACTGTTCTCGAGTGCCTCGCCACATACGTATGTGGCATACGCTAGAAAATCCCCAGCTGACCGATTTCGGTGAAACCCATATTGCCGGTCACTAAGGAGGTCATTCTGTTCTAGGTATGCCATTAAGCGGGCGTTCAATGTCTTTAAAAATATAAATTGTTTGAATTTTTACTCCACTATGTATATGTACATACACCTTTACCGTGCAGTTGCATTGATGATCTCTATTTTCTTAGCGCGAACGGACTACAAGAACTTTGATTTTTTTTATAGGATAGGGTAACAAACGAGTACACAGTCCACCTGATGGTAAGTGGTTGCTGTGGCCCATAGACATCTACATTTATCCTTGATTGCGAATCAAAATGCAGATGCGTTGTCAGCCGTGAGAACTAAGATGAAATGCCTCTATTCCAGTAAAATGGGTCTCCGGTTTTCTACACTCACCATACGAAACACAGCAGTGTTAAGCTGCTATTCTGTGAGAGTGAGGTCCTTCCCCGGTCGAGCCGACCCATTCGTGCTACAACTGTAATATAGCTGCAGCATGGCTCTACCACGTACAGAACCTATTTACCCCACGCAGGAGATTTTCTGATAATCCGTAATCTTGCAAAGTATGGAGGTAATTGAGATTGGCCGATAATTGGCAGGGTCGGCACGGCTGCCTTTTTTTGGAACAAGGTGCACGTTGGCCAGCTTCCAGGATTTGATTTTGGCACTATTCCAGTCGTAAACGAGAGGCGGAGCAATCGTGTCAGCACAGGAGACACCTCAGGTGCACAAGCCTTTTGAACTATAGCTGGTATACCATCCGGTCCACCAGCTTTTTTCACGTCTAGACACCGCAAGTTTTAAGAACCTTCTTATTTGTTATACGAACCTCCGACAAAGATCCCGCAGTGAGGTAATTTAGATGGAACGTTGTTGCCACTGTCCAGACGTGAATTGTAGGCAAAGAGAGACGCGAACAGGTCTGCTTTCTCTTTAGCCGTATGCGCCAGTGTGCCATCCGGTTTTACCAGCGGAGGCAGTGTAGGCTGACAGAAGTCTGCTTCCCATCATCGGACTATATTTCGTAAATGAAAATATATATGGATTGAATACTTATTTATAATATATTCCTAGTCGTCTCTTACGAAATCTATGAGATAAAATGGAGTGATGGATTATAAATGTATTCTATTAAGTATATCGTTTGTATTCGGATTAGAATGCAGTTACAATGTCAGTGAGAGTGAAATCATGTAGGGATATTACTTTAGTGCACCTATAACAAAAAAAATGAGGTAGCCTAACAATAGGCCCTTATTGCAGTTTGAACGCAAAGCAGATATGGCAAGCATGTACCATTAATGTAATTGTTGTGATAGAACTAAATAAAGCAGCCCGACAAAGTTGTTCATGATTTAATATTTTAAGGTTTCAACTATAATACCAGGAAAATAATACAAGCTACTTCATTTCAAAGCACCGTTATCACTGATAATGTTATATAAATAAACTAATTAGTATGGTAAACATGGAATTACATTAGTTAATTAATTATACAACAGTAATAAAGTTTACATGGAAAAATATTGCTAGTTATAGATTTAATATCATACACAGTCCTATGTTCAATCATTGAGCAGAAAACAGAATTACATCTTAACGGCACTGCAAACATAACAATTGCTGCACTGTACACCATCTGGTAAACATTCTATATGGAATGAATGTCTGCAATTGTAAACTATTAAGTTGGAGGCGTTAGACAAGTCCCTTATAATGATCCGGCCCTGACAGACGTGACACAAGAAGTCATCAGTGACAGATATACCTCTTTGCTGCCCAATGATAAGTTTTTCATGTAGATCAAAGTAGTTCCTAAGGGTGATAACTTTACACGCCTCTTGAACTGACATTTGAAGGTGATAATCACACATCATTTTAGCCAAACAGTCCTTCAAATCCTTTATTTCACAACCAGGCTGTATGTTTTGTATTAACATACGGGGGTCTACGTAGTTACCTATCCGTTTTAGTAGTAATGTAACACACTCGGGGTTATCTACGGTCTGCTTAATTAGGTCAGTCCATAACTCTTTGTCATTGTGCTCCTGGCAGAAGTTTATTGCTTGGTTTATGTCATTTAACTTCTCTATTATAATTTGCAAGGCTTCTCTAGTGTTACCAATACGACTTAACAGAAATACCATTTCTGGATAATATTCATTGCTCTGACAAACATCTAGCGCTTCTTGAATAGGATAGTTATCACTGCACTTTAAAAAAGGTAACAATTTCTCCCTTGCATACTTTGCGTATAACCGAATCAACTTTCCATGGTACCGGCCATTGGGTTCAATTTTACTGTAAGCGTCCAAATATTTAAACATGTACAAATCATGGTTTTCCAACTGTTTTTCAACAACTTCAACAGGTATCTTAGTTCTCTCCTGTTGCTTATCAATTAGTTCTACTGGCACTTTATCAAGTAATATCGATATGGCTCTATCACAGTCAAGGTTCATCAGGTCAAGGATTTTATCATATATCACACTGTACATATCATGTTTTGTGATTAATTTGAACACATCTTTATGCTGTAGCTTAAGGTATGCTGTTAAGGCTTTATCATATTTCTTTTGATAACAATAAAGCAAGGCCAATGCTTCTAAATATACATTCTTATCTACTTCAGTGGTCAATAAATGTTCTATAACTTCTTTCACAACAACTCCTGTCTTGTATAGTGATGGATTCCATTCTTGCACCAATTTAAGAAAACCCTGTGGATCTACTTTGAGATACTCATAGAAAATTAATTCATATATGTGTGGACTCAATGCTTGTTCAGGAACTCTAGGTACATAGGCACTGATAGCTCTAAGTTGGTTTACTTCAGCAAATTTTAGAATTTGGTTCTCCCATAAGACTTTATCATTCTTGCATATCCTTGCACACAAAATTGCTGCTTGCTCATAGAGATGTTCAGACATTAGATGGTCCAAGTATTGGACGCCGACAGTAATAACTGAATGTTTTGCAGTTTTTCCACCAACCTCTTCTAAGACTGCTATAGCTTTTTCAAATCGACTGTGCTCAGTCAGCCAGTTGACTCTGTCATCAATATCATAAGGACTAGCAATCACTATGTCTTTGGGAGATACAATAAAAAATCGATTTTCTTCTATGAGCATGTCTAAATAATAGTCATTGCAAGAGTATTCTTCATAACCTCGAATATTGAGACAGTCTGTAGAAACCTCACAAAATTCGCAGTCCTTATAATCTGCCACAGTAAGAACAGGCCTTTGTGCTTTGCCAGTGTCTGGATCACATTCTTTAGGAACACCAAGTAAAACAAGTTGGTCATCTAAAGGTCCTAAGCCACTTATGAAATAGTCTGTTTGAAATGTATGCACAGGATCTACTAAGTATTCAGTCACATCTCGTGTTTGTAATTCAATTTGGTTTCGTTTACGTATTACACATATTCGGATTGTGTCAACCCACCCAATCATGAGAGTCTTGGGGGCAGACCACAGTAGATTGCAGCGATAGTCTTCTATGGACCTATTCGGGCTTTTTTCCCATTGAATGAGGCCTAGGGAACATCGAGCTACGAGGTCATAAACACGTACACCAACCTCACTTGCCCATGCTACAAATCTTTCGTGCCAGGCTATTGCTTGGACATAGCCCTCACACTCACATAATACTGTACCTCTAAGACGATTTAAAAAAGTTTTCTCATATAGAGTCAATTTGTTGTCACCTGAAAATAAAGATTGAACAATGACTGAGTAGAATAAATATTGTGTTGATATAAAATATCATAAAAGCCTTTAGGTTTGCACAATTTAATACTGTTAAATTATTAGACTATATTATTGATTCATTAATTTAATTACTCTATAAATGTTTGTATTATATAACTTATTTTATCTCCCTTTCTCAAATTTGCATTGCCTGGTAAAGGCTACTAAGTTGAGACAAATTTTTATTATTGTAAGACCATTTATGTATTATGATTTCTTATATTTACGCGAACTCTACACATTTAAATAAAACTAATTTTACGGATTTTATCGCGTATATTAACTTATTTTATATTCCCGCCGTTTCGAGCACTTTTCAGCACCCATGGTCATGGGGGGGACTGAGGTGCAAGTAATTTGTCCCCAATGAATCTAACAAAGTCTGAATTTAACAAAGGCTGCTGGTTTCCGCCATCATTATTAGTGAAGATCAAAAGATATCTGAAATTTAGTCTCAAATTGAGAAAATATTTTCTGTTTTCTCCAATATAAACAACTGTTTCATCATCATCATCATCATTACTTTTTTTTTCTAAATAAATTACAGCCCTTCACAAGTCCACTGCTGAACATAGGCCTCCACCAAGCAATTCCACAAAGCACTGTCCTAAGCCACCTGCATCCTTCCCCCATTGGTTGTCAGTTCTTCGAGATATATTGCCTGGCCATGGCCGCTTCAGCTTACAAATCATACATAGACTATTAGACTGTTTCATATTGGGGACAAATTACTTGCGTCATTGACCATCTCTCTTTGAAAAAAGCATCATAAGCATCTTTTTCAATTACAACAATTAACAATAATAAATACTTATGTTTTTTTAATACTATTATGGGGATATTTCTATTATTTTCTGGTCTGATAAATACTTTTACTACTAGTATAAAAATAAATATTGTGAAACTAGTACAAGTTTTTATTCAAATCACAAAAATATATATACTTAATTATGTAACAAAATATAATTAAATAAAAAGATAAACCACAAAAAGAGGGATACCATCAGCACGGGAAATCAAATCACCTAAGGTTAGGGGGGGAAGAGAAAGAAAACGGCAAACAATGCCAGTGGTGACTAAGAGCGCAACCTTTGAGCCTGGAGCAGTTTCACATAGAGTCGTAGTTGCCTCATCTGATCATAGAGGCTGACCGAGATTAAACTATTCATGGAGACAACCACAGGAATAATTTTGTTTGGCAGATCACATCCCTTGTCAGTCACCTCCTGAGCCAGATCCAGAAATTTTGTCTGTTCTTGACATACTGAATGATAATTTGGTTCTCATAATGCTGAATGGATTAAAACCAAAAATATCCTTTTTTTTGCCTACTTTGGCAACTTCCAATGGACCAAAATATCCTCGAATGTGCCCAGTCCATCAACATAATATCTTTAAACTCAGTTCTGTCTGTGATGATAGCCTAATCCCAGCAGTACTTGGAGCATGCTTATTCTATAATTTAGAATTCAGTTTTCATTACATAAGCTTAGTAAGGCTTATTTGTATATAAATATTGATAAGCCTAAATATTTATCACTTTTACAAACTTTATTGAGGAGTTTTGGAATAATGATCTTATGTGAATAATAGGTATATAGTTCATCAGACTTATAATCTGCACATGACATAATTAAAGTGCACAAGCACAGGTCCATTGTTAATTACCACACTCTAATAGTCAGATAGCACGGCAAATTGAAATGACTATAGTGATACCAGGTACAGGACCAATGATAAGACTTACTTTATGCTTACAGCTAGTCTTTGTGTTTCATAGCAGTGACTAGATAAATGAGCGAGTATATTTCTGTTTCAGCCATTGCATGATCTAATCATTAATCAAGATCATGCATGGTAACAATATCAATATTTATATTGGGGATGTAGTTGTTATTTAATTTTAAAATATTAATTTTATATTCTTTGATTACTTATGTTTTTTTCCAATTAACAGTTCAGCCTTTAATTTTTTTTAATATATAATTAATATGATAGATTGTTGTATTAAGGCAATGTATTAAGACAAGAGAGAGATTTTTTTACATCAATATTACATTTCTTTGCCCTAAAACCCTCTAAGAAATGAGAGGAGGCCTGTGTCCAGCAGTGGGATGTATATAGGCTGTAACTTTCATTTCAACTTTCCCTACATATTTCCTGCAATGATGGAGTTCACAACTCGACTCTACTGTAAGTAACACAAATATATTATCTTATAATAATCCCTTAGGACCTTGCTCTCATTTCTGTAAGTCACGATGCTGTATAATTATTCAATGTTAAATAAACATATAAAGTATACCTGTAAGAAACCTTCTGCCTGAGCCAGATTTAAAGTAGTATGGGTCCAAAGCAACTGATTTAACGACTCTACTTAAAGTTATGTTGTGGGTATTATCATCAGTGTATAAACCATAAACCAGCACCTTTCCATCATCCGAGCAACTTGCTATGTAATCTCCATTCAAATCTACTGATATCTTATTCACAGCTATCGCGTGGGCTTGTAGGTCCTTCTGGTTATTGTCTTGGGATATTGGTACAGTATTTCCCTCATGATCTAGCAGATGTATAACTCCCCATTGCGTGCCGAGACAAATAAATTTAGTATGAACACAAATACAGCTTACAGCGTCCTTGAGTAAGATATTTTGAACGTCATTACCCATTCGATCATATTTCAACTTTGGTTCCTCATCTGGTGGAAGGCTGTCACAACTCTCCAGATTAAGAGTCATGTTATCTTGTTAATGTTATTATAAATACTTAAAATTACATGATAAGATATTTGCTCCTCACATATTTTAAAAATATATTTTCTTCTTTTCTTCTTCGCCTTTATATTTTGGTACTTTTCAATGATTATGACCATAGATAAATAAATATGTGATTATGACATTTAAATTCGAGGGTTGCTACTTGCTATGTATATATGCATAGATAATATATTAATGTCAAGGAGTTTATAATACCCTATCAACCTCTAAATCCCTACCCCTACCCCTAAAATCACCTTATTTGGAAATCCACTAAAAATTAGTATAATCATTTGTTATGTTTTTTATACATATTTAATATTTCAAATATTATTTCGTTTTCTTGTGTTATAAATGATGCGGTATTTCATTGCAATGTGAATCAGATCATCATCACACTTGGTACTTTTGTATCAAAAGTTAAGTCAAAAACACCTAAAATCATCTTATTTGGAAATGGTACCTGAAAGTAGGAGGGCATGAACCCTCTTGTTAGAGAGTAGTTTATTCCTTTGTATGAACCTTTATCTAAAGTATTTATAAGTCCGTGTCTGAAAATGCCTACTTAACTATACAGTTATATAGCGAATAATACCAGTACATAGTACACAGTAGTCACTATAATTACGCTGAGTAGGGAGCACCAGTCTGCACCTTTGACCAATTGCCAGCATCAGAATCACAGACTAAGAAGTATAATTGCGTAATCAGAAACTTTCCAAGTTTCAAACACCTAAAATCTTAATTTCAATAGGGAGGCTGGGTTTCATAAAACTTCTTGGGATCCTGTAGTTAATAAAATTAAAACTAAACCCAAGCATATCACTGCAAGACTTCAAGATACAGTAAGTTCATTCTGTGTAGATCGAACGAAAACTAATAATTAAAAAAGCTGAAGGTACTCCGCGTTAACTCTGACATCGGGACGTCAGATACATCAGGCCCCCGTGACCATGGGTATTGGAAAGAACCCGAAACGTCGGGATTTTAAAAATAAGTTAATTAAACGCGATAGAATCCGTTGGGCGAGGGGGACGACAAAAACTCTTCGATCACACTCTTAATCTCATGGCTGTTAGACGGGAAATAAAGCTGCAGTCTTCAGCAGATTTGACAGCGTACAGGCAACTGAACAGACAGATCTCCAAATGCATGCGGCGGGACTTACGCAACTTCAATGAGCTGAAGCGATCGAGCGGAACCAGGGCTCCAAAGTCTTTGCTAGAGATCTGTCTGCCAGAAAGAGCCAACTGTTGAAGCTGAAGACAAAGTGTGGCAGCGTTGTTTTCAGATCACCTGAGATTTTGAGTGAGATTGAGAGGTTCTATGGGCAGTTGTACACATCATCATTGGAGCCATACGTAAGTGTGATTAACGATCCGAGAGCAAGTCTTATCCGACTCTATTCCTGACGTCCTCTGGGGAGCAATTCTAATCTTGCTCAGACTGACGTCCTTCTGGTACGACTGGCATCTTAAAACCGGCAAGGCCCCAGGTGAGGATGGAATTACAGCGGAGCTTCTAAATACGGGTGCAAAACCGGTACTTGAAGTCCTTTAGAAGCTCTTTAATTCCGTCCTCCATGGTGGTACTACACCGCAGGCGTGGAGCAGAAGTACGGTGGTCTTGTTGGTCAAGAAAGTTGACAACGCTCTCTTAAATAACTATAGACCAATTTCCTTAATTCCAGGGTGACGTAATATCCCCGAAAATCTTCACCGCTGCATTGGAAGACGTTTTCAAGCTACTGGACTGGAAAGGATACGGTATTAACATCAATGGCGAGTACATCACTCACCTTCGAATAGCCGACGATATAGTCCTTATGGCCAGTGGCAAATATGCTCAATGACCTCAATAGTGCCTTCCAACGGATAGGTCTTAAGATGAATATGGACAAAACAATGATTATGTATAACGTCCATGTCACACCTATGCCTGTATTTATTGGGAGCACTAAGCTCAAAGTTGTTGACGAGTATGTTTGCCTGGGACAAATAGTCCGACTAGGTAAGTCCAACTTCGACCGAGAGGTCAATGGACGGATTCAACTCGGCTGGGCAGCGTTCGGGAAATTACGGCACATCTTCTCGTCAGGTATACCTCAAAACTTGAAAACGAGGTTATACAACCATTGCGTGTTGCCAGTGATGACTTATGGATTTGAGACGTGGTCGTTCAATGCTGACCGTATGAGGAAGCTCAACGGATTAGTAAGCTAAAGTGGCAATGGGACGGCCATATAGCTTGAAGAACCGACAACCAATGCGGAAAAAGGTTCTCGAGTGGCGGCCTCGTACCGGTGGACGAAGTGTAGGGCTTTCTCCCATTTGATGGAGTGACAACCTGGTAAGACATGCAGGGAGTCGATGGATGCAAGCGGCTCAGGCCTTGCTTTGTGGCATTCCTTGGATGAGGTCTATGTTCAGCAGTGGACTTGTGAAGGGCTGTAATGAAGATGATGATGACGTAACACTTTACAACTAAGGTAACAATGGGCAGATTTAACGCCTGTTGGCATTCTCTGCCAGTGAAAGTTAATAAAAAACAACTTTACATTACATTTAAAATTTACCACTCAACTAAAAGGCACAATAAATTATTGAAACACCAAACATACGAAATTCAATTATTTAGAGTAAACTAGTTAAAAAAATATTCTATCATAGATACATTATCAAAAGCTGTTAAACGTTTTGTAACAGAAACAGAAACAGAAACAGAGACTTTTTTATTCAATATATATTAGAAATAATACTTATTGAGGGTCACTCTTTTGTATAATTACCACTGGTTCGAAAAAAAAACCTCTGACCTGGGAAGAACCAGCAAGAAACCCAGCGGGACTTTTCTTTTAATGACAGGTTACAATCATGTATGTTACACAAATTAACAACACAACAAATTAGAAATAGCTTGGTAGCGATCACCTCATTTCCAGGGGTTATTATTATCTATATATTCTTTAATATTATAATAACCCTTTTTATACAAACTTAGTTTATTAAGTTTTTGAACTTTGAGCAGGTCAAATTTTGTATATTTTCTGGAATTTTGTTGTAAAAGCGTATACATCGCCCCAAGAATGAATTACTGACTCGATGACGTCGAGTGACTGGTACTACTAGCTTGTGTCTGTTTCTAGTATTTACGGAATGAATATCACTTATTTTTGTAAAACTACTTTTACTTTTGTGTACGTACATTACATTTTCATAAATGTATTGAGAGGCAAAAGTTAATATATCAATTTCCTTAAATTTTTATCGCAGTGACTCTTTAGGCTTTAAATCATAAATTGCTCTTATGGCCCTCTTCTGTAAAACAAATATAATTTCAGTGTCAGCTGCGTGCCCCTATAGCAAAATACCATACGACATTATGCTATGGAAATAGCTTAAGTAAAGTAGTCTAGCTGTTTCAACACTAGTTAGACTTCTAATCTTTTTTACGGCATATGCTGCAGAACTAAGTCTGCTTGCTAGTTTTGATATATGTGGGCTCTATTGAAGCTTCGCGTCTAGTGTGATTCCAAGAAAAATGGTGGTATCTATAAGACTCAGTTTCTCCCAATTTAAAATTACATTAGTATTTAATTGTTTGACATTTGGAGTCATGAATTTCATACATTTCGTTTTAGTGCCACTTAGATGCAAATTATTAATATTGAACCAATTTACTAATTTAGATATAGCATTATTTACTTCGTCATATTTTAGCAATTGTCGACTTAATTTGAAAATTAAAGAAGTGTCATCTGCAAATAATACTATATTATGGTTATCTCCTACTATGTAAGGTAAGTCATTAATGTATACAAGAAACAGAAAGGAGACGAGAATTGAGTCTTGAGGCACGCCCATTTGTATTTGACCCGGAAGAACTCATACTCTTAATGACAACTTTTTGCGTTCTCTTACTTAAATATGAAATAATTAATTTAAGAGCATCACTTCTTACACCGTAGTGTTGAAGTTTCCTGACTAATGTTTCATGGCGAACACAATCGAAGGCTTTGGATAGGTCATAAAATTTACCCAAAGCATCCTGTGAATTCTCGCATGCATTAAATATATATTTAATCAGCTCAACACCGGCATCAGTTGTCGAGCGACCCCTTGTGAAACCAAATTGATTTTTATGAAGTAACTTATTTATATTTGTTTATTTAATATTATCCTCCTGTGTCAACCCTACCAAAATTGGTAAAAATTTTGCCTCTGGTCGGTTTCTTTACTCATGTGATTGAAGCGAACTACGTGCGTGCGTACCCACCTGTTTGTTTATAATTAAACTATACTGTTTGCAATATATTCTCCTTTTTTGTTCTCTTTTTCTTTTCTTTTTTAAATATTAACTACATGTACATGGATAATTGCCTAAAAATATAAAATTTGATCGAATTTTCTTATACTTTAAAGTGTCTTACTTTAACTATTGAATGTAATCAAAACTGTTTAACAATTTTTCTTTTTTAATGACGTAGGCCACTTATAATTGGGGAAGCCAATGTACAGCAGTGAACTTTTATGGATACTAATGATGAATACCTATAGTACAAAGCTTTAATATGTTTCAAATGTGAAATTGAACCTAGATTCAATTTACATTGATACCTTTGAATTGAGAATTTGCAATTTTTCTTCTTTATTCCAATACTAGTTGATATCTGTGACTTCGTCTGCGTTGCTTACACATATCACTGAAATCGTAGTACTTATAAAAATCGTTGTTTCTTAAAACTTTAATAACTTTATATTAAATGAAGTTATCGCAATAATTATTTTTTGGGTAACGGCCAAGTGTCTAAGAAATAAAACAGAAAACCTAATTGAAATCTATCCAGTAGTTTTTTCGTGATGCACGCACAACTCCAAACCTCTATAATTTTATTTATATAAATTAAATAGGTAGTCTATATTGCTAAAGAGCGGAATGGTAGCATTGAATTGTAAATAACGCGCGAAAGTGAAAAACGTTTTTGTTTTTTAAACGGAACTTGAGCGCCAACAGATTATTGCTGCTGATATCGTTGATTTGAAGTAGATTTTGATACATAAAAATGGTTTAGTATACGAAATGTCTACGCATGCGAGTTACTTGTGGAAACGACGTTACAAGTGCTTCGAAGGTGATATAAACTTTTTTTTCATCTCCTTGGGCTGCTTAGATACGATTATCTCCAACTGTCCGTTAGGATAAGGTGACGTTAAAATCTTTAAAAATACTTTCTCATACGAAACATAACAGTGCTTCGTGAAGAATTTTGTGAATAAAATACACATAATATGGCTATTCATAATATAAAATTTCATATTATGAATAGGCTGAACCTTTAATATTTTGACTGAAGAACTCTGTATCCATGGTTACGAAAAAATAAAAAAAAATTACGCGCGAAATATTTCATAATTCTTATTTTCATATCACTTTGAATAACAGAAGCAGCTGTTTAATAGAAAATGAATTTCAACATTACATGGGATATTACTGTGGAAAAATATAAAAAACACCTGTCACCTTTTGGTTGCAAAGTTTTAAGTGTTTTGTTACAACAACGTTTAAGTCCAGGTAATAAATACCTAGTAGTGAGGTAAGTAGGTACGTTATATTTGAATGTTAGCGAGCCTGATTGCGAAAATGTAGGTAAAGATTAATGTAGTGTTGACTTATATTTATTACAACGTTGTTCTCATAGCATTTCATTATTGTACCAAATTATATAAATATCTTTTACGTTTCCAACTTAAATAGCCCAAAGAATTTTTTAAAATCTTATTAAATACTCCGGAACTATATAAAAAATTGAAGTGTATGTCTGTCATATGGAAATAACTGCCTTTTAATGATCTGAGTGGGTTATTTGAATGTATGAGTAACCATTTTTAAAAATTTTGTTGTGTCTTTGTCGGTTTGCCGGTATGTCTGTCTGTTTGAATTTTTTTAATCGATAAATTGATAAGATGAAATAAATAGTTTTGATGATTATCATAAATCTTAATAACTCCATCTTATTAACGCCGCACTATAAGATCCCACCCAGGCGAAGCCGGGGCAGGTCGCTAGTTTTTTTAAGAAAAATGATGACAAGCAAATTATTATAAATATAAAAGAAAAGTTAAGAACCATATGTACATTTATTTTATAGATATATCTCGTGAAAGAAACTTATTCAGTAGAGATAACTATGCAAATCTGTATGAAAATACTCGTCGACTTCAAAACGATAGATCATCAACGTATGTTATTTCAGCTACCTGTAAATGTTCATTATTATATTGCTTAATTGTCGGGCTTTAGTTCAATTATATTAATTTTTTCAGCTCTAGAGATTCAAATTCAAATAATTCCTATTACCTTTATAATAATAAGGGGAACATAGATAATGTTATCGATAATATTACAAATAGTTGTTATCCTGATACTAATGACGAGATGGATTTTACTGACATAAATGTAGTTTCACCAGAAACTAATACAAAAGCAATACCTAAATCAGTTGAACTTGTAAGAAGCGCTCATAAAGAGCTTGTACCACAAAATTCTCAAAATATTGTACCTTTTGATCATATCGTAAAACCTCCCATTTTTAATACTATTCCAAAAGTGTATAGCTTATTAAATGATAAAGATGATCTTTTGAACAAACAGATAGCAGAAAATACGGTAACAGACTTTTCGGGGCCAGTACCGTGGGAAGATATGTTTGACTCTGAACTATTTCCTAAAAATGATGAGGCTAAAAATCTTGCGTGTGACAAAGCAGCAAAAAAGACAAATGTTGTTAAAACCTTTGAAATAACGTTTCCTGAGAAAATACAAAAGGATTGCGACAATAAGATGGAATTTAAAAATAATTCTGAAAAGAATCCTAAAAAACATAAGAATAAGACTAATTTTTCGGAAAAGGTTCCGAAAAAAGTAAAAAAAGCCGTCAAAGAATTCGACAGTTTAGCTAAACCTAGTTTTCGAAAAGAAAAATACACGAAAACTGTTAAAAATTGGTTGAACGGCGTAGACCCAAAACATGTGGTAGATGAAATTAATATCTTAGAAAACACATCTGACGGTATGAATAAATTAAATAGAGTTGAATTAACAATCGAGGATAATTTGTGCGGTGATAGGCGCAAAAAAACTGTTCAGGCACAATTATCAAATGTAAATGGAGTTATGAAATATTCTAAGCCTTCCAAAAATGAAAATGAACACACCAATAAAACAGAAAAACAGGGCCCACCTGCATCTGAAGCAAATAAAGAAAAGAAAAAGTCCAAATTTGTTGCACCAATTAAGTCTCAGATTCCCGTTAAAGATATAACTTATAAAGTATTTACATTAGATAATGATAATGATTATTTTGATGAAAATACAAGCGATCTTAGATCGAGTGCCACAGAAATTTTCATGACACTTATTTACAGGTGAAATTTTTATCCCAAAGAAATATTTTTAAACATAGTACGTTTGTAAAAGTAACATGTATTATTTTTCCAACAGCAACGACTATTGTCAATTAAATAATCATTACACTGAAGACGTCGGGGTACCACAAGGCATTATGTTTCTCGTTAAAGACAATTTTTACTATTTAGGGGGCTCTTTATCCAAACATAAGTACGCAGAAATTGATTATGAAAAGGAAAACTACTCATTGTCATTTTAACTATTCTATTAAGTATTTTCAATTCAATTTCAAATAATATATTTCAGAGGCATAATACGCCATTTAATAAATAATAACAGTGTGGTTTGCTACGAAGGTAAAAATCTTCTTACGCATTTTTTCCAATACCTCGGTTCAGATGTCAGTAAAGATATTAAAATCCTTGATGCAAAGGCAAGTTCTTATTTCATTTGTGATACATCATATTTAGACAATGAAACTATTTTCCTGATCTTAAGGACCCAAATTTTGAACCTACTTTGGAGACAGCCTAATGTGTATGAATTAATTATTATATTAATAAGAAGAAACGGATACAAAACTAAATTTTACGACTTACCTATTTTACAGATTGGGGGAAGCCTTCTAGATCCAGACAATCCGCCCAATAATTTTTCCGAATTGCAAAAACTACTGACCTATGAACCGGAATATACGATTGCCACAGATTGCTTGCAACAGAAGTCTGCTTGGTATATCTCGTTGTTGAAGGAGTGTTGGGACAAACTACAACAGTCCCTGGTAGCACAAGGCCTTTGGAATATCTTTGTCGAGATTGAGATGCGCGTTATGCCGATCATTTCAGGTAAAGTCTGTATGAAAAAAGCCAAGCAATTGTATAATTGGAAGGCTTTCGAGTGTCTAAGTAGGATTTTTTGTTGTTTTAAAAATAAATTTTAACTAAAGTAAAACAGTTGTCACATTCTTTTCGTTAATAAGACCCACATAAACATCGGATCTATAAGTAATAGATAGCCCCAGTTTTGTATAATTTAAATAATACTTATTCACTCAGGTATGGAACATCGGGGTGTATCTGTGGATTTGGAAACGCTGAAATGCATGGAGAAGTTATTACTAGAGAAGATGAAGACAGTAGAGCAGGAATGCTACAAGGCAGCAGGAAAGACCTTTCAAATAAACTCTGCAGTACAAGTTAGAGTTATTTTGTACGACGAGTTGAAGTTAGATTCAAAGTGTAATGTCAAAATTAGGGAAACAATCTGCAAAGGAGCGAAATCTACTTCAGAAGTTATGGTTATTTACCAAAAAATATTTTGTTCAATCAATTTTTTTTTATTATTATAGAAACAAATAGAAAGTTACTTTATTGGATTGTATTACGTTATTGGGTTAGTGGTTGAGCCACGTTGCAGCGTATTACGGCTGCAGAACGAATGGATCGGCTCGGGGAAGTACAATGCTAGAATTAAATTACAACGTATAAATACCATTTCAACGATAATTCTGACCTCACATCTAAAACGAGGTAAGACAGTTTATATAAATTTAAACTGCAACTTATAATATTACTTCGACAAGGATTCTGACTTCACATGTAAAACGAGGTAAGACAGTTTATATAAATTTAAACTGCAACTTATAATATTACTTCGACAAGGATTCTGACTTCACATGTAAAACGAGGTAAGACAGTTTATATAAATTTAAACTGCAACTTATAATATTACTTCGACAAGGATTCTGACTTCACATGTAAAACGAGGTAAGACAGTTTATATAAATTTAAACTATAACTTATAATATTACTTCGACAACAATTCCGACTTCACATGTAGGAGGAGGTAAGACAGTTTATATAAATTCTTTTTTATAATTTTTTGTTTCTTTTATATAGTTTCCTCTCCCATATACAATACGTGGCTCACAGTTATCGTCTATATTGTGTCTAATCTAAACAACACCGAACACTGTTTTTGTTTTGATCGTCGTTTTTTTTATTGTTTACTTACTATTTAAATTTTGCAGCTGAGGAGTTTAATTCATAAGCACATTCTCCCAAAATTAATCCTAGAGTACCGGCATTTACATAAAGCACACGCCACTTTCCTCTCCGGTATAGCACAGTGTGTGAGGGGTGGAGTCGTTAAGCCTTTATGGTAAACTGTTTTCTTTAACATCCTTCATGTAACATTTGTTTTCTATATAGCATGTTTATAGGGTGGTCTTTCAATTGCTTTTTAATGGTTAAAACGTATGTATTAAACAGAAGTCATTATCTGAGACAAATTTAAAATAAATGTTTTGTGTATTTAGTAATAAGATTGGTCCCTTGAGTCGGATTTATTTTTGAAACTAGGGAACAAACTGCGGCTGCGACGGGTCGGATTTCATGCAATAGTCCTAACTTGCAAGCTGTACCGAAAACACCTTTCAGTCTCACATTATTTCCTAGAGAAGGCGCTGTTGATGGTAACACTAATATACTTTTTGTTGTACTGTTAATATTCTTTATAATTTTAAATTATATACGTGGTGTGGTTATAAATTATACAGGGTTGTTTTGCAATAATCGGCCAAATTTGCAGAGAAGGTAATATAGGCAAATGGTGAAGAAAAGTTAATACAAAAAAATCTCAAACGTTCTGTCCTTTTTTTTTTTAAATACAAACTGCGTGGTAACGCATTATTTTAAGTGATTTTACTGCCCGTGCGTGCGCATCACTTAAAATTACATTCGTAAGGGACAATGATTGACTTTGCCTACCGATTGACCCTTACATTCGTAAGGGTCAATCGGTAGGCAAATACGTTGTTGCCCATAAATCACATACAATTTGACATAATTTCAAATAAAAGTAGAAACCTTATTTACTTGTATATTCAAAAACTGCAATAACGGTATGTCATCATTTATATATTTGGACTAAAGTTTAAAATTTGGCTACTCTTTGAAAAATAACCCTGTACTATACGTGTAGCGAAATGGCTAGTTTTCCGAAGTGATTTGGTTCCCAAACCGTATTAATACTTTGGAAATTTGAGCGAAAATCACTTTTTAGTCAGAATTTTATCATTCATTTATATGTGGGGTAGACACACTGCAGCTGTATTATGTTTACAAAACGAATAGGTCACCACCCACTTCATGACTGTGTGCTTTGACAATCTTTTTCTATAAAAAAATAAACTAAAAATTTTTGTGAAGGAATTTTTCCTGACAGATTTTAATACAAATCCAAATAAAAAACATATTAGATAGGTTAGTATTAACTTTTTCAAGTCAATTTTTATTTTGTTTTATGGGGCCAAAATTTATAAACCTTCTATGTTTCGAGACCAACGATAATAATTTATTTCTTAACAACCTGTTGGGTTTTGGAGAACTTATATATAAATGAATCAACGTGGCAGTGGCAGCGCCCTCTCGCACCATTTCTGCGCGAAACGTCGGCAACAGCGGACGTTGTTTACCGGCCTTATCGGTTATTACAATAGTACACAAGCTCAAGGTCGCACAGCGAGCTATGCTCGGGGTTACTTTGCGTGATAAACTTAGAAATGAGAATATCCACAGTAGAACCAGAGTAACAGACATAGCCCAACGGATTAGTAAGCTGAAGTGGCAGCTTCGTACCGTTAGACGAAGTGTAGGGCGGCCCACCACTAGATGCAATAACGACCTGGTATGATATGCAGGAAGTCGATGCATGCAGCCTACGCCTATGTTCAGTAGTGGACTTGTAAAGGGCTGTCATAATGATGAAATGTATTACACCTGTGTACAACACACCTTTTCACTTTTTTTCCTAAAGATGCACAAACTCTGAACCTTCGCTCGCTGTACGTGGGCCGATCCGGACACTATCTGCTGGCAGCTGACTTCAAGCAGATGGAGTGCCGCGTGTTCGCTCTCGCCGCCGCTGATAACAGCCTACTGCAGGCTCTGAGCAGTCCGGATCTGTTCCGCGTGCTCTCAGCTGCATGGTACTGAACTTCCACTCGCTGTATTGTATTGTTTATACGTTTTAGAGCCGCGCTGCGGCTAATACGGTTGTTGCACAAATGGTTCGACCCGAACGAGGTACGCCCACACTCTCACAGAATACCAGCGTAAAATAGCAACTCATACTGCTGTGTTTCGTATGGTGAGTGTAGAGAACCGGAGACACTTATTACTGGAAATAAAGCATTCCATTTTAGTCCTCGAGGATGACAACACATCTGCGTTCTAATTCTAAATTGAAGAAATATCTAGACTTCTATAGGCGACACCATCTATTTACCATCAGGTGGACTGTGAGCTCGTTTGTCACCCAAATTCTATTAAGAAATTGTTTTGATGGTTTAAAACCATAAACAGCCGCTGCAGGCTCTGTGCAGTCTGGATGTATTCCGCGTGCTGTCGTGTGCCTGGTACTGAATCTCCGCTCGCTGTACTGTGATCAGATCAGAGGCGCTAGTCGACACTGAGGCAAAGTTGTTTGTTACACAATGTAATTTAATTGAGAAGTTGATTTTTAATAAAAGTTTATCAGTTTCTAGATTATTTCTAGAGTATTATAATAATACAGAATTTTTTGCACATTTTTCACTTTTTTTCTTAATTTTTTTACTTGTATGTATATCTGTCGTTTGGTTTATTTATTTTTAAACTTATTAATATAAAATAGAGCTAATAGTGCAGAAAGAAACAATAACCTTTACATTTTCCGAACAAATTAACTTCCCCGCTATGTAATCTGTCAAATATTATACCTCACTTTCTAGTGACGCCGCCCTGGTGGCAAAAAAGTCGTGGATGCCCTGATTCGGGCACTTCAACAACCCAAACACCTCACAGCGATAATTTGAACATTCTAGATATTGGAAAATTGAGAACCTGCACAACTCAATTTTTTAAAATTCTAGTGTGATGTATATCTATCGTACCGTGTAGTGTAAGAATATCCACTACTCCACATCATCTCGTGGGTGTCGTATGAGGAGATGGAGGGAAACAAATGGGCGGCAGCGTCTTTATTATATCAACCAAAATATTATAACATCTCTATACATAAAAATCAATTGCTGTTCGTTAGCCTCGCTAAAACTCAAAAACGGCTCGAACGATTTTAATGAAATTTTTTGGGTGCGTTTGAGTGGGTCCCTGGATAGTTTAGACCACTGAGCAAATACAAAGAGGAGGTGTTATAATTAGATTTCACTATGTAACAACGCGTGACAATTCGCGGGGTGGGGGGATGTTAAGCCCCGTCCACTTTACTATTCTATCTACCGATAAATAGTAAAACTAAACGAATCGTGCCATATCGATGTTGTAATGTAGTTTAACTACCTAGACGATAGATGGCGGCTTGTTCACCAAAATATTATAAAAACTATAAAAATAATATTTTGACGATTAAAAAATCTTTAGGACTGAATGCAAAACAAATTTCAACACCCTCGTATGATTATTTTATATTTTTATATCCCATGACACAGTGTCGCCATCTAGTGTGTAATATATTTCATTAAATTTGAAAGCCGACGCAGAGATTTTTCTAGAACCTTTTTAATAAATTAGGTATACAATTACTTACAAATGAAATGTGATGCCGTCCATAACATCAGAGCGTCTATCTGAGTACTTTTTACACGATGAAACACAACACTTCATCCTTTTCTTCTTAATTCTACGAAAATACACCGATTTGCGATTTTCGACACATAAGCGCACAGGACGAACGCTAACAGTATACTAAGTAAAGCCACGCCCACTGTGATGACGTCAGGACCTAGTCAGAATCACAGTGCACAGTTGCTTATGCCATCTCTTTGTATTTGCTTCGTGGTTTAAACTCACAATTGGAACCGGTAGGTGGTGATGTTGTCGAGATCCAGAAATCATTCGTACGGAGCCGGGGCGCATAGTTAGTAATATATAAAATATGCCAACCTGTCCCCCAAGCGTGGTATTTATGGCAAATCCATATGAGTCAATGATGGGAAGGTTTTTGTTCAGCAGTGGACTTTTAATTGCCTATAACATTCCATCTATCAAATCAATCCTTTACACGAAAGGCTCCTCTTGTGGAAAATATATTATTATTTAGGCTTTGTTGTTCTATTATTTAAGGCTTAACAAGCCGGAATCCGAGGTAACGAATGAAGAGCGCGAGCGTACTAAGCGAGTGGTGTACGCAAGTATGTACGGCGCTGGAGTTAATAAGTTGGCCGACGTTCTCGGGCTGGGCTACGAACATGCGCTTTCAGTTGTCACCAGCTTTAACAGTGCGTTGAGTACTCGTGTAAAATATTACTAAGCTATGGTAAATTACTAGTAAGTGAAGTCTTTTTTTTACCGTGAATTGACTGTGTAAAAATATCCACTACTCCATATCGGTCCCGTTGGTGTCATATCATGAATGATGAATCATACCAAGAGATGGGCAGTAGCATTTTCCTAATAATAACTAAAAAAATAGAAACTGCGGTTGCCAACTCGCCTGCCAAGTGTGGCAAATATAGCAAATATCTTGATAAGACATTCTAAGTGGAGGCCTACGTTTGGTGGTGGTCAGTGGACTTTATTAGGCTGTTGAGGTGGCTGTAGAAGTCCTTTTTAATCATCAACTCAAAAATAGTTGAATGACACTAGATTTTTACGGATTTTATCGCGTTTAATTAACTTATTAATTTTAATTAAAAAGGAAGAGGTTCTCAATTCGAGTTTTTTTGTACGTATGTTCGCGATTTCTTCGCATATAGGGAACCAATTTTGAAGATTCTCTTTTTATTAAATAGGTTTTACTTCAAGGGTTGTCCCACTGGAGGAAAAAATCCACCCCTATGGGTAGCATATAAATAACTTCTTAGCAATTTGAAATCGGTTTTTAGTTTTTGTTAAAAGTTATAATTATATAATCGACGTTTCGAGTAGGGGAGTACCTACACTGGCTTCATTTAAATACAATGTACTCTGTGGTCACTTTGCTTGAGGTGTTCGTTGTCCCTAGGACAGTTATTACTATACTCTTTGGACGTCCCATTGTCATATTTAACTAACTTTGCTTCGGTTTAAAATTAAAATTAGTTTAAAATTTTATGATATTTAATATGGAAGTAAATAAGTTAAGGGCAGTTTTTCCAATAGTCAGATAAAGGTTATCCATCAATTAAATTATAAGCTGACTAAATAGAGAAGTGAAACGATTGAACAATTTTATTCATAAAATTGTGATATTTGTTTATGTTGTATTTTATATTATTATAAATAACTTTAACTGGGGATTGAAATAATGCGTTAAAATCTTTAAAAATCTACTTTCATTTAATGGTAGTGTACACATAAGTAAAGAAATCAGAAATAATGTATTTGTTGCACACAATATGGTTCTCCAACATTATTTAACCATTTAGATTTTTCCCTAATTATTTGACCACGGCGTCGTATATCATCCCGTGGGTGGCGTAAGATGCGACAGACGGAAATAAAGCAGGAAATGGGCAGCAGCACTTTCCCGATAACAATTATAAATAATTAAAAAATGCGGTAGACACACGCCTGCCAAGCGTGACAACTATACACAAACTATATAGAAACACTACGCGTTCAACTATGGCAATTATCCTCCCTTTGAATATGATACCCCCCATATCAGGTTACAAATTAGGTATATTTAATTAAAAGTATAGCTCGAACTGAAGACACCGTTAGACGGTTTCTTTCATTCGACCATTGAGCCCCAATAATAGAAAAAATTCTTTCTACGTTTGTATTCTCGGCTGTAGGCTAATTGCAAATATATATTGACAAATACGCATTATCTCTGGTAATCATGAAATACCTATTGTCTTGAAAATGGTTAAAGCATGGTATTGAGTATTTCATTTTAAATTGAGATTGATTGATGATGATTAAGTCCCGGATTGGGAGCAACTAAATCTAGTCCAGTTTAATCCTCAGAAGACACAAGTTTGCGCGTTTACTGCTAAAAAGAACCCCTTTGTCGTATCTCCTCAGTTTCAAGGCACTCACCTCGTTGCCTCAGCCAGTATCTGAATCCTCGGCGTCGATATATCGCGTGACGTGCAGTTTCGTGGTCACTTGGAAGAGTTTGGAGAAGAGAGAAGGCCAAATTGGCCTCTAAAAAGCTTGGAGTGCTCAGCAGAGCGAGACAGTATTTCATGCCGGCACAACGCCTGCAACTTTACAAGGCGCAGGTTCGGCCTCACATGGAATACTGTTCCTATCTCTGGGCTGGGACTTCCCAGTGCCAGCTCCTTCCACTTGACCGCATCCAGCGCAGAGCGGCTCGAATCGTCGACGACAGAGTCCTTTCCGATCGGCTCGATTCATTGGCACTGCGAAGAGATATTGCATCCCTTTGCTTTTTCTTTCGCATTTACCACGGGGAGTGCTCTGAGGAATTGTTCGGATTAATCCCAGTTGCTAAATTTCACGAACGCACATCGAGGCAGAATTCCCGATACCATCCACACCATCTGGATGTTTGGCGGTCCACCACTGGGCGATTTAGAAGATGTTTTCTTCCTCGCACAACTTCCTTGTGAAATGGTTTACCACCAGCGATTTTTCCGGACCGATACGACGTAGGGACCTTCAAGAAAAGAGCCTACTCCTTGTTAAAAGGCCGGCAACGCATCTGCAACTCCCCTGGTTCCCCTGGTGTTGCGGTTGTTCATGGGCAGCGGTAGTCACTTACCATCATCTGAGCTGCATGCTCGTTTGCCCCCTCTCCTATAAAAAAAAATGATGATTTACTTGAGGGTGGAAGTGGAACTGAGTGAGTGTGCGACACTGATGTGATAGGGGCGGTACCCCACCCCCGCTTTGTGTGCGATGTGCAACGCGTGAGCGACATCCATAGTGTATAAAAACGATAATATTATGACTGTTTTAAATTGTTAAGTACGTTGGAGAGACATTTCTCAAACTGTAAAAAATCTCAGGATTTTTCAATGGAAATCAGGCCTTTTCTCCGGACTTTTGATTTTTTCATCTGGTAACCCTACGAGCAGTAGGCTTTTAAAGAAGAAGACCATTGCTCTATCTCCTATATAAAAATAGCAAAGCAACTGTGCATAATTTTGTCAGTGAGGGCTTACTATCCTACGCTCACCAGATGTCGCTAGTTGGGATTAAGGTTAACTTATTTGTTACGCAGATGGTCACACCTAGGGTTCCCAACCTTCCCGGATTGCCAGGGAGACTCCGATAACATTGGTCGAACTCCCGACCTCCCAGGGCGCAATAATTTCTCCGGTTTATACCAAAAAGTTATACGCATTCGTCGCTCGCACGTGTCGCTACTCACTCGCTTTGCGGTCACACAACGATCGTAAGCGGTGTCTGCTTCTGTCACGCATTTAAAATTAATAAATAATTGAGTTTTTCTTTCAAACATTTTTAACTTTTTTTTTAATTCTTTTACTTTAGGAATATCCGTAGTTTCGTTTATCCATGTTTTAATCCTAATTAATATAAAATATAGGTTCTTTTCTAACAAATTATTCCCGCTATGAAATCTGTCAAATATTTCACCTCATTCTTATTCTTATGTGACGCCGCCCTGGTGGCAGTAAAGTAATTAATAAAAAAGGTAAGTCTTATAGTGTAAAGATGAGACGTATTTACACTACCAGGTTTTAAAACCAGGTATTCACTTCAAAGTACGGCGCCCTGGTACGAGCAAAAAATACTTGCCAAGTATGAAAATACTTGCATAGGAAAATTATCCATAATATCTTAATAGTAGTAAGGAACTCAATCGTATTTGTGAACGAAAAATACTTAGAACTTCAAAGTATTTTTTTTATTTATACGACTTTGCTCCTTATTCATAGTAGGATAACATGGAATACGGGTGAAATTCCTATGCAAGTATTTTCAAATTTTGACACCACGGCTGGACACGTCCCTCGCGCTGCAATGAGACGTATTTACGCTACCAGGTTCATTGAGATATAAATTACATCTCAATGACCAGGTTTTAACTTTAAAGTACGGCGCCCTTTTACGACCAAAAAATACTTGCAAGTATGAGAATACTCGCATAGGAAAATGATCCATATCTCAATAGTATTAAGAAACTCAATCGTTTTTGTGAATGAAAAATACTTTGTACTTCAAGTATTTTTTTTATTTATACGATTTTGCTCCTTAGTCATAATAGCCTAACATGGAAAGCGGGTCGAATTCCTATGCAAGTATTCTTCCTTATATATTACTATACTCTTTGCAAGTATTTTCAAACTGACACCGTGGCTGGACACGTCGCGTAAGTACTTAGTAGGTAATAAGAATTATGTTTATATTCGAGGAAGTAAAAGTTTTGTTTCGATTTCTTGTAAATTCAATTGTTATTGTGAACTGATTACGTAACCTACTGACCGTGACCTCATTTTTAAATAGTTACTTCGCGTGTATATTGAATTTAGAGACAGTTTTAAAACTTTTATTTATTAGGAGTCCTAAGCCGAAAAGTAGGAAGGAAAGATTTCATTTCGTTACCAAAAAAAATTTAAAAACGTTCAGTATAAATTTTTGCCCGAATCAAATTAGGCATTCATATATATATTGACATTAACAAATACTTTCAAGTATTTTTATAACCTGGTTTTCGACCCTGGTATTTTTCCATACTTAGAAGCCCTGGTATTAAATTTTGCAAGTATGTCTCATCTCTATGTGGTAACAAAATAGAACGCACAATAATAATAAAAAAAAACTTAAGATAGATTCTTCTCAGTTTTTGATTTATGTGAGATTTTGATTAAATTTATGTGTTTTTAAATAAAACTAATTTTACGGATTTTATCGCGTATATTAACTTATTTTTATATTCCCGACGTTTCGGGTGCTTTCTAGCACCCGTGATCACGGGAGACTGAGTTGTTTGACGTCCTGCTGTCATAGTTAGCCCGGCTACCTTCAGTTTTTTAATATTAATTTTTGGTTCGATTTACGCAGAATTAGCTTACAGTACCTTGAAGTCTAGCAGTGGTATACTTGGGTTTGGATTTGATTTTATTAATTATGGGATCCCAAGCAGATGGCAGCACCCATCCATCTTCTCTATTGAAATTAGGATGTTTTTTAATTTCAATAGCCTCGCGAATCATCCTTGGGAGGAATCGGTGTTCTTTTGCGAGGATTTGTGGTCTATCAAATCTAATGTAATGACGGGGACGATCCTGAACATGTTCACAAACTGCAGACTGCGATAAAATCCGTAAAATTAGTTTTATTTAAAAATGTGTAGTGTTCGCGTAAATATAAGAAATCATTAAATTTATGTGGTTACATTTTACACTAGGGACTTTCCCATCGCTCAAAAGCTTCGGCCGGGCGGTAGTGTCACGGTGTGAGAGAGATGGCAGGCTGAGTACGCCGTGCGGCAGAACGAGATATTTCAAGGACATCACGAGTACTGACTTTACGACCAAAGCGCAGGCAGAGAGGAAAGCTATTAATTTTATTATACAAGGTTCTAATGCTGTTTTAATACCATAATATAATAATAGTAAACCCGTTAGCATTATCTCATTTTCAAATTTGTCAAAAGTACATTTAATTAACGAGTAGTATCGTCTATGACATGGGGCCTATCCCAGAAAATCTGGGCCACCCTGAAAACTTGGTGTTTCCAACTCTTGCAAAAAGTTCGACGCTGTCTAGCAGTCCTACAGGAACCTATGCCTCCTTGGACCCACCCCGAAAAAAATAGCTCCCCCCACTTCAAACTTCCCAACTTGGGAGAGGTCTGCGTCTTGCAGTGAACTATTATAGATTAGTGATGAAATTTAATTAAAAATTCGTAGTAGATAACTGTAATAAATTTTGTAACAATTGTATACGAGATGTGCTACCCTCATTAATCGGTTGACATTCATGATTTTGAACGCATATGACATGATAAAACTATTTGTAAATAATACTAATGTGCATGCTCTAAGCGCATTAAAAAAAATTACGTATAACATGATTATACGTAAATTTTAAATAAAGTGGTTTAAATACACACGTTTTCACTAATAACCTTATTATTATACTTCCAACTTTCCAATAACTTTATGGCAAACTTCAATTTAAAAAAAAGATTGGAAAATAAAAAAGCGCACGATTTATAATGCTCGTATGATCATCATATCATCATTCAGGTAACTCCATAAAGTCCAAGACGTATTTAAATATAAATATACTTAAATATATACTTAGTACGTGCTACTATTATTTATTCTGTGCTTTTAAAATATTGTAATAAAAATCTCTGATTATGATATTGTGGTACGTACGAAATTTGTTTTTTCGAATATTTTGTATTTGTACAGCGATCTTTTTGAGCCGCTGCAAATAAGCGATACAGTATTCACTCACGACGGCGGCTGACGCCGAAATGATAAGTGAGTGAGGCAGTCTATTTAGTAAAATAAATTATTACAAGGCTGCTAAAACTCCGAAAATTTCCGGATTTCTACGCGAAAAAAAATTAATTATAACTAAACAAAAGAAAATTAAATTGCCATTTACATTCCATGGCTTCCCACATGGTAGATGAAGAGATTAAAAATAGATTGAGTTAAACAATTGATATTTTCAAAAGTTATCGTGTTTAACACTCCATGCGGATTTGATAAATCTACACCATAAGCCACTAAAACTACTTTTTTTTTATGTAAAAATAGGAATTAATCGATTTAAAAAAAATATTACTAAGGTCAACAATCATTTATTTTAGTGACAATGTGCTTTTTATATCATTTGTATGTTCAATATGATTGTTAGATACGATTTTATGGGACAAAACGTTGGAATCTTGGAACGTTGGAAACGAGATTTGCGCTTAAGGCATGCAAAAGGTGCAGCAACTTAAGTTTTATATACCAATGTACGATAGCTCGTACAAACTGTATATTTTTTAATTGTGTTATGTAACCCACGCCATAGGTTCGGCAGCTGATCTGTGTAAGATGGCGATGGTGAAAGCGGAACAGCACCTGAGGAATAGTGACCCTCCGATAGATGCCTATTTGCTGTTGCAAATACATGACGAGTTAGTCTGGGAGGTTAGGGATGAGGATCTCAGCAGAGCTGCTGGTATACTGATGTTATTTTAAATTGATTTTAGTAACTGTTATTTTTTATGATTAAAGTACTAAGTACTATCGCTCCAAAAGAGGTTTTCTGGGAGTAATATGTATACATGTTTTTTTATACAATACGGTGACAAACGAGACCACAGTCCACCTGATGGTAAGTGGATGCTATGGCCTATAAACATCTACATATATGCTCAATTAAGAATCAAAATGCAGATGCGTTGTCAGCCCTGATGACTAAGATGGAATGTCTCATTTCCAGTAAAAAGGGTATCCGGTTCTCTACATTAAACATACTAAACACAGCAGCATTAAGCTACTATTTTACGCTGATATTTTTTTTATAGGATAAGGGTGAAAAACGAGCACACAGTCCACCTGATGGTAAGTGGTTGCTGCGGCCCATAGACATCTCATCTATCCTCGTTTGCGAATCAAAATGCAGATGCGTTGTCACCCGTGAGGACTAAGATGGAATGCCTCATTTCCAGTAAAAAGGGCCTCCGGCCACCTGCACTCACCAAGCGAAACGCAGAGGTAAACCTCTACTTCACGCTGGTATTCTGTGAGGTCGTGGTACCACCCCGGTTCTAGCCGGCCCATCCGCGCGACAGCAAAAGCTGCCGCGTGGCTCTACTACTGTTAAAATTCTGTAATATATTCTCTAAGGGCGTGGTTCTACTCGGTTTTTTACCAGCTCTCCTTATTTTTTCTATAGTGATTATTTTGAATACTCTTAAGTATGTGACTAAAACAAATATTTCCTTTAAGAACTTATTAAGTCAGCAATGGAAGGTTGCGGCTACGAGTGTGGAATGCCTATGGTGTTGCCAGTTGCTTTGAGCTACGGAAGAAATTGGGGAGAAATGAAAGAATATGTTCCGGAAGTGTAATGCACACATATTTATATGCCAATAAATTTAATAGCATGATAAATTAGTTGTTTTACTGTATAAGTACTCAAGACTGACACGTTTAAAAATAAAGAAAGCGTGAATGATGTATTTAGACATCATCGAATATGAATCAAAATGCAAATGTGTTGTCGACCCTGAGGACTAAGTTCACCCAGAAAAAGTTATGAGGTACTTAACACACATAATCTTTGACAAAATTTAGGATATCGCAGGATTAACGCTATCCTCGACGTTACTTCCTTTATTGTCCTTTAGGCGTGTACCGTGTATAAATCTACGTATGCTAAACATATGTGTACAATTTACTTTTTTGTTCAGAAGCTTAATTAAAACAAAAGGAAGCCTTGGGCATGGCGAATGAAAAATATAATACCAACTTAACTTTTACATAAATAAAATAAAAATAAATAAATAAAAAAATAAAAAGGCCTTTATTCCCACTTTTAACAACTTTAGCTGTGTGTGTGTGTGTGTGTGTGTGTGTGTGTGTTTGCGCGTGTATGTGTGTATGTTTTGTGTGGATATGCTAGTATTTATGTGTTCGTTCAATATGTGGTTACCATCTTCTATTCAGGGATCACCCATTGTTGGATGAAGGCCTCCTCCATCTCGTGCCATTTGTCTGCTAAAAGCAGTACGTGTCCACAGGTTTCCCGCTATTGCCTCTATGTCATCCTTCCATCTTCTAAGAGGTCGACCACGGTCTCTCTTAATAACTACTACTCTTAATAACTTTTACATACAATAATTTTATTATAAATATTTAAGTACAATGATTTTATAACTTATACAGACATTATGACAAGAAAATGAGCCGAATTTTTTCAATACAATAAATCGATGTAATTAACAGAAAATAAAAAGATATTTCCAGTTAATTTCACAGACATATAAATTATAAAGAAGTAGCGAACACAGACAATATTACTCAGACTATATCACTTAAAATACATCTTAAGGTGACACTAGTTGACATTTTTTCCATAGAAATTTCGGAGGAGGAGGGGGGGGGGGGGGGTTACTCCGCTGTTTGACACTGTACATCCAAAGTTAAACATGATATCGTTTTGTCTCATTATTAATTTTGTCTGTGCGAGAAACAGAATAGTATATTAGTAATAAAAGAAGTATAAAATTTCCAAAACAAAGTCGGTACTGACATAGCTCAATTATCGAAGAATTGAATAAATTTTATATGTAATTGATTTTTTTTTACTTATTATAAGCCAGTGCTTGACCACAATACCACCTGGTGGTAAGTGGTGATGCAGCCTTAGATGGTAAATCGCATTGTCTTATCGCCCAAATTGTATTCGGACGGAAAGATAGACGCCGGCAAATTATTCCAATCCTTTGCTGTACGCATTACAAAAGACGAAGCAAACCGTTTGGTTCTAATGCGAGGAATATCGACAACAAAGGGATGAAGACCCGCCGACCGCCTGGTTGTCCGATGGTGGAAAGGAGAGGGAGGAATTAAAGCGTGTAATTCCTGCGTACACTCACCGAAATGCATCCTATAGAATACCGAGAGACTGGCTATTCTGCGCCTGTGCTCGAGGCTGACAAGATTGGTTTCAACCAAATCAAGGTCACCAATGAGCCTCTTAGCACGTTTCTCCACTGAGTCCAATGCTTCCAGGTGGCATTTTGCAGCACCAGTCCATATGTGACAGCAGTACTCCATGCACAATTGGATTTTAAGCGTGCATTATGGTATTTTCATAAAACTCCATGTTCCAAAGGCCTTTACGTATTTTTTTTTACGCGCGCGTTTTGCTATGGATTATCGTGCAATAATGTTTCAACGCGCGGTAACGCGGGCTTACGCTTATTCTAGGGATGGGCAAGGGAAAAATATATCGACATATCGTCATCATTTGCATGATGTAAAGATAAGGTCTAAAATTTTATATTACTGACGGTTGGATGACACAAAAAAAAAACGACAACCAACCACACATGAATACTTTTGTAGCTCCTTTTGTTGTTACATGTTTTGTCATTAATACAACATTTTAAAATATATCGAAATTGATACGAATTCGATACTCTAAAATAAATATCGATATCAAGCCTAGCTTATTCGAGTTTTATTCGACTGAGTCTTCTGCGGCCTATGTCGTTCGTTCAAGGCTCAAGGCCAACTAATGATAACAAAACGAAAGTTTTGCTGTTTTGTTATTTGGACGCCAAATGGCATAGAAATTGATATAATTGAAAGAGATTACGCGTTTTGGACGACACAAAATTTTAAAATTAGATAACTTTTATCAGAAATGTGTTTTGCTGGAGCTGATAGATCCCCGTTACCCTCGCAAACTGCAATTTGGAGATCAAATGTAAATCAAATTGACAAGCACAGACAAAATTAGCGGAATATAAAGCATATTGTGTTGGTAATGAGTATGACTAAATTCAGGACTATCAAACATATAGTTATATAAGGATCACTGACATATTTCTTTTCCTTTTTTAAATAGTTTTTCTAGCAGGCATATTCGCTAAATTTGTTGACAACAAGTGGTAAAATTAAAAATTTTGTACAACAGACTTCCAATAAATTATTAACGATAGCTCAAAAACTATTGATCAAATTTATACGGTACCACATGAGAAGCACCAGCTTTCAAATAAAAGAAGAATCATCAAAATCGGTTCACGTAGAAAAAAGTAATGAGGTAACACACATAAAAAAGAGAAAAAAATACAGTCAAATTTATGTATATATAATACAGTAATGATGATGACATGCGTCGTATGAGCCGTGGTAGTTCTAATAGAAAAGACATAAAATACGCAATGTAACTATACAGTCACTTGTAGAATTTTGTCTAGTCAACAAAGTAGCGAATATTATTCAGGCATTCTTGTTTAACTCAGGCACCAGCTCTTTAGGCATAAAAAGCTGAAAATTTGTACTTACTATAATACAATGTAGTTTTGAAATAGTTGTTAGTTATAGCATAGTCTGTTTGCGTGAGAAAGTAAAAGCATTTTTACTATTTTTTGATGCCAAGTTTTTATGGTTTTTGGCTCATGAACATTTGCACTTTCTTAGATTTTTGATTTTGAAAGAAACGCCAACGCTCGCGGCAGTCGTGGCTATAAAACGTGTAAACGGCAACGATGATACACACATTTATAGATACAATATCTATATTTCGGACGACAGACTAACTAGGTATGTATTAGATACCGCTGTAGTACAGCGTCACTTGTGAGAACATCAAACGTAGCGATCTATACTCTTTGAGAACATCTAACATCAAAATTAAACATAACGTAAAATACATGTAAAATAATAATTGCTTATATTTACGAGAACACCACACATTTAAATAAAACTAATTTTTACGGATTTTATCGCATATATTAAGCAAGGGAAACGTCTAAATTTTAAATATTTTTTTATCATAAACATCACATCAAAATTTCAACTTAATAATTATCATAATATGATGAAACAATTTTTATTTGTTCTTATTGTCAAATATGATTTAAAAAAACACAGCCTTTAAAAAAATTTGGTTTGGTACGAATATAATAATCAATTATTTAAAAAAAAACTATTCTTAATTTTCTACATGAAAAAATATAATCAACTTTAAAAAATACTACTACTTTATTTATTATGATTTTAAGCAAAAATTACAATAATGTATTACCATGGGCTGTTGTAATTACAATAATGTATTACCATGGCTGCATTGCGGTTATTGCAATAGTACCTTCAATTTTGTTTATTATCAATCTGTCTGTAATAAAACTTTAATCACAATCTCCTCTTCAGCGGGAGGTTGAGATATAATAGTATCGGACTCTAACTTGCAACCAATTTTACTTTTTTCTTTAAAACTTCATTATTTACTATTGCCTGTGACTATGTACATAATTATTAATGAAAAATTAGTAATTCTTGTAAATTTTACACTTCTGTTCGTAAATTATATACACAAAACAGGAAATTAGTGGAACAACTTCAGGAACGTTCAAGCTCGATCTTGTAAGTTTTAAAATAAAATATTTTTTAAGTAAATTGTTTTTTTTTAACACTTTCGCTGCCCATCTCGTAATTGACTTGTTTTATGCGATATATTTCGAAACAAGTTGGATACTTTTGGTGTATGTTCACGGATAATGGACAACAAAATTTGTCTTTAATTGTTTTAATGCCGCGACTGCCACGTACGTTCGCGTCTAAAACAATTTTTATCCATATCGACTTGTTAAGTATTTATAAATTTTTAGTTGTCACAATATTTCCTTTTCTAGGACTTCTTTTCTACCTTGGAGTCCACCTGCGTAAGTAGTACCCAGTGCACTATATACTATTCAAATCATTCGGTCGGTGTTCGACTCATTCACAATTCACACCAATCACAAGTTAAAAAGGTTCCGTCAATTGTTTGTAATAGATCGAACCGGATCATAAAAAACAGAAGAATGCAATCGTCACTTCAATTCTTTTACGCTTTTACTTGTCGCGGTTCAAACGAACGAATCATTCACGATTGACTCATGTCTAGTAGGTACTACCATCTTACCTATTTATGCTGACAAATAGCTGTGTTCGTCAGCAGAAATAGGTAGAGGAAGAGAGAAAGGTTGAAGGGTGGAGAGAGACAGTATATAATTACAGGTCTTAAGGCATGCCCATCTTAATCCTCACAGGTGTCCATGGACTGCGCATAGCCACACATGAGGTGAACTGTAAATTCGTTTGTCACTTCAGTTTTATAAAAAAAAACAAGAATAATCTTACATAACTTTCTAGAGATCATAATTTTACACCGATCAGTGTGAATAGCCTATTTCTCTTGACATTGATAGTTACATAATCTACTGAGTTGAGACCGTCGTGGTTGAAGTTGTGTTTGTTCTCATACATGATGCGCGCTCTCTCTTCGTTTTTCTTCTCATGACGGTGAACCAGCATTGTGTATCTTGATAATTCTCGCGGATATCTGAAAATTAACAATTACAATTGGTTAATTTTAAATAAACCGTCTAAAATAAACAAACCGTGTAGTGACAGTGTAAGAATATTCACGACCCCATATCGGCCCGTGCATGTCGTAAGAGGCGATAGAGGGACATTGAAACAGGAGATAGGCAGTAGCATATTCCCATATCAAATATCAAATCATATATCAAAATAAAACTATTGGTAAATCCAATTGTGCATGCCTTAAGCGCATTAAAAAAATTACGTATAATTTTTAAAGTAGTTTATGGTAGTAATAGGTAATAACCTTATTACTATACTTACAATTTTTCGATAATTTTCATAATGCTCATAAAATAGTAAAGAAATTTAAATTGTAGTTCTATTCGTCAACGAGTTCCAGTAGCAGTCACCGAAATACACCTTCAAGTCACTCCATCAAGTCCGGAGGTAAGATCTATACATAACCAACAAAACGAGCCCAAACTCGCCACATCTATTACTACTCCGTTGGTTCCGTTCTGGAAATTTCGACCTGAAAAATGAACTCAGTGGTCGTCCGAAAGCTTTGGTCGACAATGACGAATTAAAGGCGATTGTGGAAGCTGATGATACTCAATCTACGGCTGAATTAGCAGCAGCTTTCGACGGTAGCATCAAAACAATCCAATGGTCCATTTGCGTAAAATTGGCAAAGTAAGAAAAAGCTTGATGGGTGCCCCACGAACTCAATGTTCACCAGCGCGAAGTAAGAGTCGAGACGTGCCTTGCACTACTCAACAGGCAAAAAACGAAGGAACTTCATTGTTACCTGCGACAATATATGTATTCTGTTTGACAAATAATTGGTGGGATCCTAGATCAGCAGCTAAACAATGCCCTAATCGAAAACTTACCCCTGGAAAAGTAATAGTCACTGTTTGATGGTCTAGCGCTGGTGTAAAACATCACAGCTTCTCACCAAACGAGATGAGCATTACTGCAAATGTGTACTGTGAAGAACTGAACACAATGATGGAGAAGCTCGCACGTTTCCACCCAGCTTTAGTCAATCGCTCGTTCCCGCAGCTCCTGCACGACAACGCGCGCCCTCATACTGCACAACAGACGGTCTCCAAGTTACAATAGCTGGGGTTGGAAGTTCTCCCTCATTCGCCGTACTCTCTAGACCTTGACTTTTACTTTTTCAAAAACTTGAATAACTTTTTGGCGGCAAATAAATTCAATACCCGAAAAGCATTATAAAACGCCTATGAAAAATTTGTTGCCTTCTGTCCAGATGATTTCTTCAAGAGGGCATCAATAACCTGCCACTGCGTTGGCAAAGATGCATAGATTACATGGGTAAAAACCCTTCAATTAATAGAAATAAAAAATAGAAAAAAAATACATATTAACTTATTTCATAAAACACGGCAATTTCATAGGTGACAACATATAGTCAAGACCTAATATTATCATAAGGCAAAAGTTACCTTAAAATCTTTAAGTTCTTAGCAGCGATCCTGGCTGCGAAGTCATCATCCTCACCGCCCCATCCCTCAAACCGATTCGAAAATCCATTCACAGACATGTACTGATCCGACCGGATCGCCAACACTCCACCCACCAGGTAATCGTATGTTAACACATATCTAAATATGTCAATGCTCGCACTCATGTGGCGAGGTTCGCGCAGACATGCATACAAGTTGCCAACGTCCAGGGGCAGGAGGTCCACATCGTGGAGAATGAGGCAAGGAAATTTGTCTGCTATCGCCTGCTTTGCTCCTATGTTGTACAAGGCACCTTTGTTCCATGCTTTGTCATCTTGTTGCTCAATAACATATATACTGAAAAGAAAAATCTTTAATTACTTACTGGTTAAAATATTAAGGTCACTTCACCTCATCAGCAGGCTACCTGATAATCTATGAAACAAGGTTTTGACAAATGGCAGTATATCAATTCCAAAATTCAAAACTCAAATCTCACCAGTTGTAATGGGGACTAGCACATTACCAGTGTGAGTGTTTTGTTTCCGAACTTATCAACCCGAAAAAAACTAGTTGGCATTTCTTGAAAAACGATATGTGCAGCAGTGGATGGAAAAGGGTGACAGACAAAAAATTCCTTCTATTGCAATACTGCTTTGTTTCTACGCATATCGCAAACAGTATGCTACACTTTTATATCTATGGGGGAAGCCTATGTTCAGCAGTGTACTTTAGCAGGCTGTAACCGTGCTACACTTATATATACCTGTGATTTATTATTATAGCCTACCAAATGTATACTGTTGAACAATGGTCTCTCTCATAATGTCCTTAAGACTGAATTCCGGTTACGGCGACCAGTCTTAACGGAGACTACTCTATCTATGTATGACAGGATTATAATGCCCGAGTGTATGCCGCAGACACAAGCATACTCTATACCCTCATTCTCATATTCTGATGGGACGGTTATCCGACCCGGCTGGAGATCAGGCGCGGGACCAACGGCTTTACGTGCTTTCCGAGGCACGGGGGTGAAACATCGCCAGGGAAAGCTTATGTTTGGCATAGTTGCCACGTTTTGAAAGGAAATTGGCAATGGTAGTTTTTGATTATCATGTGTTAATCCTCATTTTCTGTGGAATTGACCTATGTTTCGTAGCTAACTGTGGAAGGGTTGCAGAGTAAGTGTAATATGTTCTAAAGGGCATTTAAAAATCCATACCTCCACTAAAAAGGGTGAACACTAGGTTCTCCTCCTTCCAGTTTTAGCTATATATAAATTTGTTCAGACATGAAATTCATTGGTTGTTACCAGGCATATGGATTGTTTTGGTTTGTAAGTATGTTTGCGTTGTATGTATTGTATCAGTCTATCATTTTATTGCTTTTAAACTTCTTATAAACCACATAGTGACGGTATAAGAATATGCACCACTTCATATCGTCGCGTGGGTGTCGTAAGAGGCGAGAAAGGGAAAAGCGGCATCTTTCTGATATCAACTCAAAATAATAAAAAACTGCAGTTGGCAACCCGCTTGCCAAGCTTGCAAAATCCTCCCATGAGGCAATCTATGAGGCCTATGTTCAGTAGTGAACTTTTATAGGCTGTAACGGAATAATGGATGCTTCTTATGTGGTAATAGACATTGCCAAAATATTGTTTTAGGCACTGTCATTACTTTCAGACTACAGCACGATGTAAATCTCTTTAATGCTGGTCCTGTACCTGCCTGTTGGTAATTATTATTGTTATTATTTAACAGGCCAGCAGTTGAAACAATTGATTTAAGCCCGTATCCTAGTTTCAAATGTGTAATTATTCTATTTTAGTTGTTTATATAATCTGTTTTTGAATTTATTAATAGTTTGTGCAGATATCACTTCTGATGGCAGCTTGTGCCATGCTTCAACCACTCTGTGGCTAAAAAAAGTGCTTGTGTGAGTTATTATGTGATACAACTTTAGTTAATTTGAAGTGATGTCCCCTAAGATGTGTTTTTTGAGTACTGGAATAAATCTTTGTCAAAATTTTCTAGATTATAGTGTCCATGTATAATTTTAAATGTTTCGATCAAGTCTCGTCATTCTCTGCAATCTTTCAGAGTCATTAGTTTAAGTTTATTCAGCCTTTCCTCATATGGTGTTTTTCTAGGAACTTTTGAAAATCTGCATTGAACCTTCTCCAGTACTTTAATATCCTTTTTGAAATAGGGTCTCCAGATTTGGAATGTATATTCCAAAATAGGTCGAAATATACATATTACAAGTTACACAGGCACAAAGTTAAAGGACAAAATCAGGGAAAAGCAGCGTTTTTAAATGCTATTGCTATTTGTTTAACATGTTTAGAACACTTCATGAAGATGATAATAGTGAAATTGTTATTCTTATTTCTTAACCAAACTAGATTTTTGTTTAATAGACTTACCTATAGTGAATACCTTGTTTACGTAAAAAATTGTGCACGTATGGTATGAACACATCTAGCTGATTTTGTCTGTTTCTGTAGGTAACTAGTATGGCAACACTGAGGAGAGGGTTACAGTTCTCAGGTGTATAACTACCATTCGCTAATCCAGCAGCCGAGAAATCATCATATTTCTTTGGAACCTCCCAACTATTGATGGTACTTGTGCTTTGCAATATACCATCATAGTTACAGTTTGGTGTTTCTTTCTTTGGCACTAGTTTGGGGTTTGTATGGAAATATATATTACTGATCAATTGTTCTCGTGGTATGTGGTCATAATTATATTCTCCGTATGAGGCAAAGAATTGAATCACAGCTATAAGGCATAATAAAAAGATTATGCATGAGGTGACTCGCACCTGCAGAAGTCTGTTTATTGGTAACCATTTAGGCATTGGTATAAAATGGTATTTACTGTAACAGTGATTTATTTTAGGTCATGCCTCTACTTTTACAGACACCTGAAAAATAATAAGAGATGAAGAGAGAGAAAAATCATGATTATATTATATTAATTGTAATTTGTTGTTGAATTTGACTCAATGAAAATTACAAAAACTATTGCAATACCTAAATTTCTGTTATAAGTACTAACATAATGAATGTACATAACATAATTTGAATGTGACTAAATAACTAACAATATTAAGCTTAAATCTACATCCTGCTGCAAAAACTATGGTAACTTTATATACAAAATTAAAATTAAATCAATATTTCTTGGAAGCAAGCTCTTATTACAACATATCTCAGTAATTCTACTGAATTGTTAAAAATGTTATTGAATTGAAATTGAAAGTGTTATTGAAACTATAGTGTTTAAAATAGAAATATTTCAAGTATAAAATAAGGTTAAAAAAGGATGTTTGAAAAATCATTTTTCAGTATTGTTAACAAGAAATTATTCACTAGTTAATTCCGGTTTTATAGGTGAAATCTTTTAAATGTTTCATAAGACATTTGAATTATCATCAACAACATTTTGAAGCCCATTATAAGTCCACAGAAATATATCTATAAAGATATAGTCTTTCATTCTCTTCATCATTACATCTCTTCACAAGTCAACTGCTGAACCTGGGCCTCTTCCAATTAATGCCACAAAGCATGGCCCTAAGCAACCTGAATCCAATCAACTTCCTGGAGTAACAATGTAGGAACACTGTCACTTTGTTACTATGTTTAAAAAAAATTGTCTTTGGCTTGACCATAGGTTTGACTAAGTTGGTAGTGGTTAATGTCAAGGCCATGCAGTATTTAATGCCTCCTCTACACTACTCGCGAAGTGACTTTGACGAAGTGCTCGTCGAAGGCAATCACAGTCCAAAGAATGTGACTATACACTTGTGCTACTTAACGAAGAGCTCAGTCGTCTTGAGTCCCCCGCACCCTTAACATGAATAACGTTCAAGAGGCAGCTGCTATAGGTATCTAATTGTGTGAACAGTATGATGTGAATGCATTAACCATAGATAAATAATTATGTAGAAAGCTACATATTTAATATTTATACATAAAAATATTAATATATAACTGGCGTACACCTAGTGTATTGAGATGCTTCGTGTAACTTCGGAGTATTTCACAAAGTTCTTTGACTCTGGCACCAAAAATTATATTATTGAATACTATAATAATAAAAAAAAACTTAAAACTAGAAACTTAATTATCATATAGTTCTACTCCCCGCGGTATCGTGCTAAGAACGCTGGCTGCGTTTCCCCGCTGAATGGTTATACTTAGCCTTTGAGCGAGAAAAGAACCAGCCCTCTTATCACCAGCAGCAACAACCAGCCGCGGATGGAGTTTCTTTAGGCACTTCACCGCACGTGGACCCCACGGACCGATAATCTTTACAGCAAATGGCACAAATATGTAGTCATCTCTGAGACTCATATTTGCGACACTTACTCAGTTCAGCTGTCTCTGATGCCGCCCCAGGTCTAAACGAGGTACCCCTGAGATGAGAGGCCGCCAGAGTCTCTACGCAAGTAGCATCCCACACTAGGGTTTTACCTCTCTCCCAAGGGACCAATGTCATATCGAATACTTTAATTACACATTACCTTGAACGAACTTTGGTATATTTTATTGCCTATTATTTTGACATTTATCTAGTAGGTATTGGATAAGCTTTGAATGCTAAATCATCAAGAAACAAAGATATTTAAGTATTTTACGAGAGAAATAGTTATTTCTCGACAGTAATCTATTTATCACTCCTTGCTCCTCCAAGATTTCTGTTGACAGGTTGGTGTCAGTGACACCTTGCTTGTAGTAGTGATGTGAACCGGTTTTAGAAAAAAGTAAATAAAACCGGTTTTTTAATAACCCATACACACCAGTTTCTTTTTACTAAAACCGATTACTTTGAACTCACTTGTCTTTCATTAATCGTGTATCCTAACACCAAAGTCAGACCATAGATATAGGGAAAGCAAAAATAATTAAGGTTGGTGGTGGAACTTCTAATATGTAGGCTCATTTAAAAAGACACCATCCGCAGGCTACAGTGGAAATGCAGGGGAATATTGTAGGTGAACAGCCCAATAACCTATCCGCCTTAGGACAAACTAAGTAAGAACAATCTTTGAACACTTCAAAAACTCCTCCAAACTACATTGAAAGTGACCTTGGTCAATAATAAGAAAAATATTGATAAATATTTAACCATGATGATCGCTACGGACTTCCAGCCCTTTTCGATTGTTGAAGACAGAGGATTTAAAAGGTTCACAGAAGTTTTGAACCCAAACTACAAATTACCAAGTAGACAAAAAATCAGGTACGAATTAATGCCGCAACAGTACCAAAATGCAAAGTTGAAACTTGCTATTGCACTTGATAATGTTAAGCATGCTGCACTAACCGCCGATTTGTGGTTTAACCAAAATATGGACTCCTTTATTACGGTCACAATTCATTTTTTTCTGAAAAGTGATTTAAAAAGCTATGTCTTGACTACCTCAGATGTCCCCACTGCACATACAGCTGAAAATCTTGCCGAAATTGTTTCTAACTTACTAACAGAATGGAAAGTAACTGGCAAAATTACAACCATTGTCACAGACAACGCTACTAACATGATCAGAATGTGCGAATTGCTAAACATACGGCACATGCCATGTTTTGCGCATACGCTTAATCTAACTGTTGATGATTCTTTCGAGCTTCCTGAGATTTGGGAAATTATTAACAAATGTAAGGCTATTGTTAAGTTTTTTAAAAAGTCGTCTGTAGGGTGGCGAGTGCTAAAAGCAGAACAGAAGGAAAGAAATCCAAATACTACTCCTTTAAAGTTGATACAAGAAGTATCGACACGATGGAACAGCAAATTCTACATGGTGTCTAGAATTCTTCAATTATCTAATGTTCTGGCATTAGTATGTAGAAAATTAATCCAGGCACCAGACTACTTAACCGCCTGTGAAGAAAAAGTGGGCAAAGAAATAATAAAGATTTTGGAGATATTCGAACAGGCTACAAAGCTTGTTAGTGCTGATACATATCCGACCAGTTCATTAATCATACCAGTAATTTGTGGATTGTATGAGAATTTGACCACCATTGAAAATACTCTGGAGACAGATATAGGCAAAATGTTTTGCTCATCAGTAAGGCGAAATACGAGCAACAGGCTTTTAGTATACGAGACAAGAACTGTCACGCAAATATCAACATACTTACATCCGGTATTAAGGTCTGGTTTTAGGCGCTCGGAAAATATGTTATCGGCAAAAGAAATAGTAAGAAAAGAACTATCTCATTTAATAAATGATTCTGAAACCAAGCTACGACTTCAGAACAAGCAGTCCAAAGATCAGTGGAGACAAACATAGAACAGAAAAAACCTGGACTCTTGGACTTTTTGAAACAAAGGAAACCCATTATCCATCCAACTACGTCCGCAGTTAACTTAATGCGCATGTATTTGGAGACAGAGCCCGAGCATGTTGAAGCTGAAACTTTAAAAACAGCTGAAAGCGCTGGCACTTTTTGGAGCAAGAACAAACATTTAGTGCCATTGACCGTTTTAGCGCTAAAATATTTATCGGTGCCAGCAACGTCTGTGCCTTCGGAAAGGATGTTTTCCAAATCGGGATATGTACTGTCATCCAGAAGAAGCAGGTTGCAAGCGGATGCTGTCGATCACATATGTTTTCTTAATCAAAATTACGACTTATGTGATTAGTTATTTTTATGTAAAAATTATTTTGATTTTAATAAAGTAGATTTTAATAAAGGTAGAACTTATTTTGATGTATTGTTCTTTCTTTTAAAAAGGTAAGAAAAAACTTAAAAATACCTTTAAAAACCGGTTTTTTACTCAAAGTAATCGGTAAAAACCGGTTCTCATATTTGCAATCGGTTCACACCATTAGCTTGTAGCTTGTTACATATATATTTATCGATTTATCGGTTTTTTTTTTGGCGGGAAATTGACCGGCGGCGGTTTGCTGCTCCTGTATTATTGTTTAAATAATGGTTTGAAGTGGACTTTGATATGTAAAAGTGTTGCGATTTTGTGTATTAAGTGTCTACGCATGTGAACTATTAGTGGAAACAGTGAAACAAGTGCTCTGATGGTGATGGATTCTCAAGATAAGCTGTTTGTTTGCATAGGCACCTTTAGATACCATCGCCAACTATCAGCTGTCTGCTGGATCAAGTTGCCGTCAAAATCTCCCAAGAACTGCACAATGTGACGCATCAACATATTGTGAAGCAGTATACTATGAAGGAGTGGGGAAATTACAATAAACCGAATAAAAATACTTAAGACTTGGCCTAAAGGTCTAGATACCAGGCCATAAACTCCAAAAAAAAAATATATATTTATCTATGGTCAGTGATCAGTGTCAGCCAAAGAGTAGATTTGTTTCATAACTGGCTTTCCGGATCTGGGTTCTAGCCCTTGTGAGCCTGAAGTTACAATGTATAATTAACCTTCATAGTACACTGCTTCACAATATGTTGATACGTCACACCCTTGGGAGATTTTGACGGCAACTTGAGCCAGCAGACAGCTGACAGATGGCAATGGTATCTCAAAGCGCCTAAGCAGACACCTTATCCTGAGAATCACATCACCATCAGAGCACTTGTTTCACCGTTTCCACTATTAGTTCACATGCGTAGACACATAATACACAAAATCGCACCACTTTTACATACCAAAGTTCACTTCAAACCATTATTTAAACAATAATAAAGGAGAAGCAAACCGCCGCCGGTCAAGTTTCAGCCAAAAACTCTCCAAAAACTAGAGTATAGTAACTGTCCTTGGTGTCAGCTGGTTTTTTCTAATCAGATTTCTTGGCTTAGATGCTTATCTTTTAAGCCATGTCTTCTTTTATCTCAGTATTAAGTGATAATATCTAATCCGTTATACTATAGTACACTGCTTCACAGTATGTTGATGCGTCACATTGCGTAGTTTTTGGAAGATTTTGACGGCAACTTGAGTCAGCAGACAGTTGGCGATAGTATCTCAAGGCGCTTAAGTAGACAGATACCTTATCCTGGGATTCACATCATCATTGGAGCACTTGTTTCACCGTTTGTACTGAAAGTTCACATGCACAAAATCCACTTCAAATCATTATTTTAACATAAATACAGGAGCAGTAATCCACCAACAGTCAAGTTCCCGCCAAAACTCCAGTATAAGCTGTTTTTATTTTAATAACTGGATTTACGGCTCTGGATTCCAGCCCTTTTGAGCCTGAAGTTTTAATGTATTATTACCCTTCATAGTAAACTGCGTCACAATATTGATGCGTCATATTGTGCAGCCCTTAGATTTTGGAATCCGTCACCGGTCAAGTTCCCACCAAAACCCACCGTATCAGCTGTCAGACGCGGAGATCACAGAATATATGTATCTTCTAAAGGCCGATTACACTTCGACCTGTACAGTATCGAATTAACTTTAGAACCTAACGAGCTAAGTATGAAAATCTCGTTTGAACGTAATTCAATAAGTAGCAAATTAACAATTAAATGGAACGGGAACTATCTTTCGGCGAGTCAAATTCAAATTGTTGCCCTCATGCGAGTCTGCCACCACTTACTGACTAAACTCGCAGCTCGTATGAACGACGAACAAGTTTAGTTCAGTGTATAAGTTGACAGGACGCAACGTGTTTAAAATTGTATAACCAGTGCGTGTTGGCAGTGATGACTTACGGATCTGAGACGTGGTCCTTCATTGCTGGCCGTGTGATGAAGCTCAATGTCGCTCAGCGAGCTATGGAGAGGGCTATGCTCGGGGTTTCTCTGCGTGATAAACTTAGAAATGAGAATATCCGCAGTGGAACCAGAGTAACCGACATAGCCTAACGGATTAGTAAGCTGAAGTGGCAGTGGGCCGGCCATATAGCTCGAAGAACCGACAACCGATGGGGAAGAAAGGTTCTCGAGTGGCAGCCTCGTACCGATAGGCGAAGTGTAGGGCGACCCCCCACTAGATGGAATGACGACCTGGTAAGACATGCAGGAAGTCAATGGATGCAGGGGGCTCAGGACCGTGCTTTGTGGCATACCTTGGGGGAGGGAGCAGTGGACTTATGAAAGGCTGTAATGATGATGATGAAAGTCCGTAAACTTAAAACGTTCAACCTGACTATTTTAACGCGGACAAGCTATGGCATTCAATGTATGATGAATTTGGGTGCTGCGTCATAAATTTTTTGAAAAACCTGCTTGTGAATGCCAAATTTCTGTCGGATATTATTCGTCTGGGGTAACCAAACATGCTGAACATGTCTTTTTAATATTTTCAGTCTCAGACGAATTGAGAAGTCGATTTGGGCGAGCTTACAGAAATTTAGAAAATCAGTCTACGATCATTAAAATATACTGATATCTCTTTGTTGTCTTACTAAAAGGTCCCAAATTGTCAATATGGATTGTATCCATGGGTAAATGTTAAGGATAAGGAATAGGATGTAACTCATCTGACGATTTTCCGTAGTTTCCCTTCCCATAAGCACATGATAATTATTTGTAAAGCGTGTCATCTTTGGAAATCAATAATCCGATTTAATGATTTCCTCATATCGGTTCAGCCCTACATGCCTTATATTATAATGAAATCTTTGCATGAATTTCCATCTAGCGAACGAGGGTACTACAAGTTTATTGCCATTGAGAGTGATTCGATATAACCGGTCGCCCTTTATTTTATAGTTATGAACTTATGAACAATATCACTACTCGCATGGACTTCCGTCAAATGTAGAATCATGTTTTTAATATATTTTTATCATCTTGGAACTGTATAGATAAAAACCAAAGAGATTTAAATATAAAGGTATACTAAGAGCGGGCATTGGGAACATTTATATACAAAAACTTTAAGCTAGTGCGCGTGTGACACCCTCTAGCTAAAAATAGCAAAACACCACTAAGCATTTATTAAGAGAACATTTTAGCTATTGTCCAGTAGGTGACGCTAATAAATATAACGTCGTTTTAGGAATGTTACCGTTTCGATATCAAAGTATCGATAATGTTCTTGAAGAGTACTAAGTTTGAAATGCTTTTCGATATAATAATAGGGAATATACATGATTGTTTTATTGTATAAATCTATTTATCATGACTTCCATCACACGAAAAAAATCATATTAACTTTTTACGCCCCTTTAGTGTCATAAAATAAAATATTTAATTTCCAATAACTAAGAATCAAATCAAACAGCAGCCACTTTGGTTGCCACCTTGGTGGCATTTTGGATGACGTCACGCGGTCCATTAGCTATTATAATAATAGCATACGATTGATCGGTCGGCGTTGAAGACACATCGAGAAACGCCAAATCCAATAAGAAAGCGCCTCTATGTTTTTAAAATTCGTTTCCATTACAAAAATACACTTCAAATCTAAAATATTTTAAGAAATCACTGAACTTAAAAGCCGTTTTACGGTTTTTCACGTTTCATCAGCTGCAGTACTTAAAGACACTACCCACATCAATAAAAATTGTTATTTTAAGTTTTTACCTTATTTTGTAACTCAGGCGTAACCTACAACTTCTTGCATCTAATATATTTAACAGTACAAATTGTTTTTAATGTAAGAAACCTATAGCCCTCTCCTATCACTGTAAGCGAGGATCTATAATGGCTTTGTCCTTGAAAACCACCAGACAATGATGCCCGATGTAAAACCACCAGACAATGAAGCCTGGTATGTAAAAGAGAAGACTTGCTGTATTGCTAAACATCAACACAGCAAGTATCCTCAGCATGCTCATAAGCAACATAGAAAATCTCATCGTCATGCCTAAAAAAATTTCCCCACCGTTGCTCCACATAAAGTAGACTACTTAGCATAGTTGGTATATGCTACTCATTTTTGTTGGCATTGGTACAGTATCGTTGACTGTTTTACCTCCTCAAATATTGTGAAGTATTAAATCGGCAGCCTGTATATTTTTTTTATCGATAATCCCAATCGATAAACATCGTCAATCACTAACTTTAACATTGGTAACTAAATAGTGACGTTTACTGGATAACAGAGGGCGCTTATTACAATAAAAATAAATGTTCTAGAACAATCTACTATAAATTATAAAATTTAAAGATTATTCGGTAAATATATGTTATATTTACAATAATAAACCGAAATCACGTTCATTTTTTGCCCCATATCGTGACTTACAATATCTTAATGCACAACCGGGCATATTTTCTTTAAAAATATTTTTTAAATATATGAAACTAATGCGTCTTGACTTTTTGACGATGTCACTAAGACTAAATGGCAAAAATTGGAGATATATCCTATAGGACATACGTTACAAACGACAGTTTTGCTGCTGATGTCCGGTCTATTACTACTACTACTTAAATGTCTTTGATAAAAACCATTCTTCACTTGAAATTAGATTTATATTTACAACATAATTTCGTTCATTAGAGGCATTGTATTCTCGTTGAGAAGTAAGATATTTTTGAGCATTTGGACACATCAACATGTTTCATAGGATTATCAGGTCTATATTCTATTTGAATATCATATTCTTGGATAGATAGCCATCAACGGCCAATCCTAGGAACTAGATCGTTTTTAAGAACGTATAGCGTACAGCGGAATAGTTGGTGACTATTTTAATAGGCTACTGTTTTAAAGATTCAACTACTGCAAATGTTTCTAGTTCGTAACTGTGATACAATGATTCT